CCCCCCCCCCCCCCTCCAAAAAAGCACCAAAAAAAAAAAAGAAAAAGAAAAAAAAAGTGATCAACAAAAAACGATAACATAAATGAAATAAAAACCACAACAAAACAAAATACCGAACAACCAAATCAAACAGTACGAACCAAAAGATAACGTTTGGTTTATGTTTTCAGAACATTAACAATAATTCAATTGGCAAAGTCAATTGTTTTCACAGATAACAAAGCAGAACAAACATGTGAACATATTGAGTGGAATATACGCCACTGCTTGAAGGAGAAAGGCGCACCTTGTAAGTACCGTAGCCTAATATGCACGCTGCATCGACGTCAAAAGGATTTGACATTCATGTTGTTGTGATGAATTTTATTAAAAATAAATTAGAATGAAATTCAACTTTAATATTTGTAGTTGCGCACGGCTTTTGACTTCAGTGAAACTTTGTAATAATAACACGAGGATGTACATTGCAATATTATGTATACGGTAATCTAAAATTCACTTTCCTTGAAACTTTTTCAACAGATTAGAAAACCCAGTAGCTTTCAGAATCTTCCGTCCCGTGGAAGGATTATTTTTATTACTAGTCTGAGAATCCGTATAGCCTCCTCCTTGTTCTTCATTGTCGTTCTGTCTTTCTGTATTGTTTATGATGTCAAGTTCACCCTCTGTGTCGATATCCAAATTCCCGTTTGTGATAGCAAGGATGGCAAACCCGCCATTAGACGATCTTCTCTCAACTTCTGGTTTTCTTTCTAGTGGGGTTCCCGCATTGTGTGCCGAAACTCCTGGAGGTGTTGGGTTTCTTCCTGTGACGTCATCACCCCCTGTGCTGAGTCTTTCCACGTCTTCTTCTGCTAGGCCCAGAGATATGACGCTAGGTCTGTCTCGTCTGTATTGACCGTAAGAGGAACTTCTCTCTCTGAACGAGTTCACGCCAGGGTCGCCGCTAGGGGTAGTTGCCATGGCGATGTCCTCTTCATCGTCTTGGCCTATGTCAATCAACACATCCGTGTCCGTGTCCGCCGCAGGACCAGACGGCTCATCCCCAGGAGACAAGCGCGCGCGACGATCTCTCGTTTTCCGACGGTTGCCAAAATCTACGTCGTGTGGTCTGTTGTCTTTTGAAGCCGATGTTCCTTGTGTTTCACTATCCCTCTCAGCGTTCCTCGTGGCATCTCGACTTGTACTTGGGTATGAATTCTCCGAGACGTCACTACCGTCATCAGTCGCCCTGTTTTTCTCAACGCCAGCACTTTCCTCTTCTCCGGACCTCGGCGACACCTCCACTTCAGTGTTGATCTCTTCGCCTTCTACGTCTGGCGTTGCGCTGGAATTTCCTCCCGCCTTATTCTCAAACATAAAAGAGAGTTTCCTTACAGCTCCCCTCGATCTGTCATCTTTGTCTGTCTTTTTGTTCAGCTGCTCTTTGTTTGCCCCTTCTTGTTTTGGAGAAACTTTAGGCTTACCTCCCTTCGTGTTTGGTTTGAGTACATTATCGCGATTAACTCCCTTGTCTTTGTTGGAGGATGAGCCAGTACTGTTTCCATTTTCACTGAAATCTTCAACTCTAATTTCCGGGACGGGACCAGTGAGGGAAGTTTCAGACCCTTTCCTTTGCTCAGATTTCTTTGGTTTACGCTTTTGCTGACGATTCGTTTTGGAATCGTCTGCAACTTCATCTATGATTTCGATTTCTGTCGGCTGTTTGTTCTTGTCTTTTGGCACTGCCACTTTTCTTTTTGATTTAGACGAAGAGGCACCCGTAAAGGGTTGTCTGTCTATGTTAGACAATGGTGGAATAGATTGATTTTGTTCCCGCCGTTTTGTTAATTTTGGAGGAGGCTGAGGCACTTTCGAATTAGTTTCAGATGACTGTTTTTCTCTACCACCATTTGATTTTGAACTTCCGCCTTTGCTTGCTTTCTCTAATCTTCCAGAGGTGGCTTTATTTCCACGACTACTGTCGTTGACTCGTTTGCCGTTATTGTGATCAACAGCGTCTCCCTCTTCCGAATCTGTTTCGTCGCTGTTATGTGTGTCTTCATTATCACCCTCCTCCTCCTCATCATCATCATAAGGCCTAAGATGACCACTCTTATCGGTGTAGGAATTCTGCCTTGTCATCTGGGGCTTCCTCGCCCTGCTTTTTTGTTTCTCTTGCATTCTCTCCCTTTCGCGTTGTTGTTGTCCACCCTCGCCTCGGCCTCCAATTCTTTTCTGTTTTGGAGAGTTCTCTTCCGGGTCTTCACTTCCACTCTCGCTGTTGCCCACATTACCTCGAGATCTTGAATGTGATGGAACGTTTTGTTTCGTACGATCTCGACCGTTCCCGTTGCTGGGAGCTCCTCGATCTCTAGAATTACCAGATGGAACAGACCCTTCTTTTGTCACTTTATTGTCTAATTGAGAGTTGTGGGACTTCATAGCATCTCGGAGATTTCGGGAACGTCGACCTTTGTTGTCTCTATCACCATTAGTGTCATCATCACCATGGTGATCGTTGTCGCTTGAATTAGTACCAGAACTGCGTGAGCGGTGAACCTGCACGATGTCCTCTTCGCTTGATTGATCATCAGAGTTATCGTCATAATCTGGGTCATCGTCAGATGAGTTGCTTACTCGTCGTCTGTTGTGAGATTTCTCTGTGGACAAAGTGACATTTTAAAAGGTGGAGTTATAATAGAGGGAAAAAAGCACCAAAGATCACCCCTTTCCATACTTTTGTAGTATACTGAGTGTCCTGAGGAAACAATTTTAGTCCAAATGGTGAAACATATTAAAACGTGCCAACCCTCGCATGAATTTATTGACCGATACACATTTTCGTTTGAAAGCACCACCCTTTCCCCATCTGATTCCGTTTAGTTACCTTTCCACACACCTATCTATAACAGTCCCACAAGCAGACAGTCAGACAGACAAACAGAGAGAGAGAGAGAGAGAGAGAGAGA